CGGTGTGGTGGATAACACAGGACTTGCTCCTGGTGTGGTTACGATTGTGGTGATGGGTACATCTGTGGGTGTTGTCGATTTACTGGTGAAACTGGCAGCCACTGGGTGACCAGGTGATGACGTAGGGCTGCTGCAGCGCCCACTTGTTTCCTCTGTAGCTGGAGTAGAACTCGCCTGATTATCCGCTGCTGCAGTAAGTTCTTGTGGGGATTTTTTTCCAGGGCCTATGATGCCCTGCTGCTGTAACAGACCCACAGCATCGGTAATGGAGCGGCACTCCTGATCGAAATTCTCCTCCCATAGATCAAGTTCCTGTAGTTGATCGTCAAACGACTCGTCGTCAATGATTGTTTCTATGTGCCGCCGGACTTCTTCCGACAGTCGATCCACTTCCGCAACAAGTGGCTGAATTCTTTCGATGTCTTCCTGTAAGACTACATAACTAATTTTTGTAGAGCCGAGCTCTCTTTCAATGCGTCGCCGAAACCTTGTTACGCGGCCTTTGGCGCTGCCTCGGGCTCGCAGGAGTTTGGTCAAGTCTGCGCTGACTTGTGTTTCTTGGGTTTCCTTTTGTGGGCCTGGCGCTGTTGGCTGCCTCGTTGAATTTGAATCACTACTCCTAGAACTCTCCATGGTCACAGCACCATGTCGCGAAATGACTTGTAATTATTCTTTTATTCCTCGCGATATATCACCAGGCAAAGAGAACCAGAGTACAACTACCACTCAGATTGGCAAGAAGAAGAAGCACCAAAAACCTTTCTCTGTTCAAACTGTTCCTTCTCCAATCCCCTCCAAAAATCTACCAAGAACTAAACTTATGTGGCAATATTTTCCACATTCAAGAAATCGGATAAAATACGAGTAAAAAATGAAACCGCAGTGATTCACCGGCACAAATACATGGTGGGCACAGTACAGAAAAACTATATTCATGACTCAGACTGACGTCATGACATACAGCATTTACTTGACAGTCACTCTCACACAGACGGAACCAGATTCTCACACTCTGACACCGCGTACTTTTGCATCCACTACACTATAAACGTCATACATTACACCATACTCGCACGTACACTTAAGACCATATTTTTCCTGGTGCTGGGATGACTGCTCAGCAAGCTTTCTCTCTCCCACTCTATTGCTCGAATTCTTTATTATCTCCCAACCTTTTTGTCACATCCTAGCAGCCTACCCGTGCTTTGTTGCCGCGTGCCGAGCCTTCCCGTTTGGCTTTGAGAAACGCTCGTATCGCGACGTTCAATGTTCATGCACTGTTTCCGAACTCAAAACACCGACACCTCGCTCGTGATTTGCAACTGTATCGGGTCGACTTCTGTGGACTTCAGGAGCTGAAAGCAAAGGATCCGTTCGTCAGATGTACTAGTAAAGCTCACAGGCTAGCAAGCTTTGGCCTGACAGACGACAGCCATGGCGGAATTGGCTTCTCTGTTTCAAAAATATTTGAACTGTGCATTTCAAAAGTAAACAAAAACTGTCGGATCTGGTTGGCTGTGTTGAACTATCGTTTCCGCAAGCCAAAAACTCATCACTGCCAGTTCGGTTTGTCGTGGCACATGGACCCACGAACCCAAAGTCAAAGGAAGAGCCTGAGCTCATAGACCAGTTCTACGACGCACTATCTTCCGCATGGAATGGGACAAGCTGCTTGTCATCGCAGTGGGGGATTTCAACAGCAAAGTTGGCAGCGCTGTCACCTCGTGTGTCGGAAATGACAGCAAGGGAACTCGCAATGAGAACGACCAGGCGCTAGTGGACTGGGCAAAAACCCGAATCAGTTGTTGCTAGCCAGCATAGTATTCCGCTATTCACTACGCTACCGAACAACATGGACAGCAAGAGGTTAAAGACAGCAATACGATTCGTACTGGGAATATAAGCAACAGGATTGACTATGTGGTGGCTCCACCACGTTGTAAGCCTATCATTAACAAGGCCAGATCGTATGCTGGTACAAAAGTGTTCAGTGACCAGAAGCTAGTCATTGCTGACATGCTTTTCTGTGAGCTATTCAAAATCTTCCTAACAGAATCAAAAAAGGGGACTCGGTATGCTGTTCATGGATAAGTAGATGGCTGCCGTAGACGGGGATATCGATCGGTTCTTCAGGCACACCTTCAAATAACTCCGGCAAGTGATGCTCCCGCTGATGTCTGGCCAGCTGCCACATATTCAATCAAGTCTGCAGCAGACACCAACATTGGTCATCTGCACCGATCCGTGGCTAAGAACCGTTTGGTTCAACTAAACGCACAGGTTGCTGAGGTTCCACAGCGGCAACGGGAACTGCGAGTATTAGCTGAGTACTGACACCATGATGTTGCACAGCTGAAGAAGAAGCGCAATTGTGTCATGAATGAAATCCGTCATATCCAATGGACTGGTGCCTACTCTCAGCTGGGCAGAATTGCCGAGGCGGTCGAGAGCGCTCCAACCTCTACGCAAAATAATGTTTATAGCAGCCTCCCAGCTCAAACGTGGCAAGCCACAGCAGCACTTCATTGAGTCGGTTTATGGACACATCCTCATCCGCGACGAGCAAAAGGCATCTCGCATACGTTATCACTATCAATGGCAGTTTTTTTACACTTCTGAAGACCCGCTGCCACACGCAGCTCTGCACACACTGGAGGCACCCATTTCCACTCAAGAGGTAGAGGCGACTGCGAAATCAGGATACATGTGGGCATGATGGCGTATGCGCAGAACTCCTGAAGTACGGTGCTGTGGACATCTCCCCGATCATCAACATCATGATCAACAACAGCATCACCCAGGGCGACGACCTGTGTAGTGTTCTTGATCCAGGCATATTGATACCGTTACCGAAACCTAACAAGGCCTGGGGACCAATTGCAAACCTGCAATCGATGGTATTGCTGAATACACTGCGCAGGGTCATTTCACTCGTTGTGCTCAAACTAATTGCAACGCGTGTGTCGCATTATTTTCGATTCACTTCGCTGTGTTGCTAACTGCCCGTATTCGTCCGGATTTTTACGGAGAAAACGAAGTTTTGTCCGCAGTACGGTTTCCAATCGAATATCCCGCAAACGATCATGCAAACGATCATGTATATGAACGACTACTATAACCATCGTAACTCCATCATTTCTTGTGCAAATCCAATAATCGCATGGCCTTCAAGCTGTCCAATGCAACAATGGCTGAAGTGATTTCTGACTAATGAGATATCGTGCGCCGTGTTCAGGCATTCTTACCTTGGCAAAATCAATTTTTGGTCGAATTCTCCACCATTTTGGGGGAAATCCCTTTTTGCGTGCTCTTTGAGCGACTGAGCACTATAATTATAATGATGTGGCCGGCTGAAGATTTTTTTGGAATCGGCTCGATATATTTGAGCGTTCCGTGAAGAAGGAGAGTGGAATGGTGTTGTTGGGACGATTTGCTTGCATATTAGGCTAAGAGACGACTTTGCTGTGTTACCGCGCCTGATTTGTTACAGCTTCATAATGGAGCTTGGCGTCCTGGCGTTGACCCTGCCTAGAGCTTTCCAACGAGCCCAAGATTGTGAAAATCAAGCGAAGTAGACCAAAGTTATGACCTGGTGTAGTTGAAAATTGTACTGAATTTGCACGTAGGCTTCACAAGTGAACTAAATCAGTCAAAATGTTGACCTGAAAAACGAGTACGGAAAACTCATGGCATTGGGCAATACGCATGGGGTAGAGGGCACTTGGTAACACTGACTTCGTCTGGTTTTAGGCAAGGCCGTGGCACTGCCGATGTGGTGTGGACACAGCGCTGGATTTCAGCTAAAGCCACCCACTTCGTGTGGGATCGCCACGTCCTTGGCCTCGACATGTCAAAAGCATTTGACACCAGTAGCTTCATGAAGTAGAATAGTTCGCCTCATCCTCAACACGTAGATGATACCATAATGTGGGTTATCCGAAAAGATGGCAGTTCCCCAATGAGGCTGTTCTATACACACCTGCTATTGAAGGACCATACATGAACATAGCGCTTCTTGTCGATTTGGAATAATTTATTTTATTTTATATATATTTTTGGTATGAATCCTTTTTTTTCTTCTGAGTCCTTTTTTCATTATTGTCATCTGTTTTGTTTTTGGTCTTTTTGGTGAATTCGTAAAAGCGTAATTAGCTGTTTTCTCGAGCATCCTGCGAACATCCCCTACAGCATAATCCGTTCACTTTCTGAGCATAATCTGATTACCCCTACTAGTGTGCAGAAGGAACTATGACACTATGTAAAATTACAAGGGTTGTGACTGAGAGGAGCATCATGGCGAGTCGATTGTCCAAGTCGGTTGTATTGCGTAGATAATGGTAGACAAGAGCAGTGATGTAGCAATGGGAGTTAGGATAAAGAAAACGAGCTGTGTGACGTTGACCGATCACTAGAATGATAAAACTTCTTTGTGCTCTCGCACACATGTTGTCCAGGCGAAAGGCGCCCAGCCTCCCTGCCTATCCGACCCACCATACACAATAACAAAACTGAACTAAAGTTTTATAGAATTTTTAAATTATTCGACAAAACGGAGACGGGCAACGGACAAACAGAGAAGACCGGACACAACAAGCGAAACTGGAAACTAAAGAAAAAGACAAACATCACGGCAGCATATGAGCATGCGCGTCAACAAAACAAAATGCACGGCAATGACGTAACCGTTCCATGGTGCATGCACAAACTGCATGTGAAACCAAAACAGTCCAACTGGGGGAAAAGGAGAGCGCAAAACAAAACAAAATATACCAAAGGACCACAACAAAATTGAGCCATGAAACGTCTTTCTTTCCAATAAAAATGATATGCAACAAGCGCTTTACACAAAGCATCTACAACTGTTCCCGTCAATCCATTGCAGCAGATAATAATACTCACAGATATTAGAGGTTTGTTCATCACGTATCCAGCAGTACTCTATATACACACAGTTATAATTGCTATTCTCTGCGTTCAGTGGTGCAGTTGATAATACTTACAGTTCTCGGAGGTTTGTGAGACCAGTGAACACACCGTCACTTAGAGTCTCGATCTGATTACTCCACAAATATCTACAAACGACAAAGCACAAAGACAATGTTGTTCTTGCTTAGTTCCGGGTAGTGCACAAAACACCGAGTCTAGAAAATTGCAGTTCTAATCTATTAGGCCGAATCGTGACCTTGTTTTCAGAAAAAACCTAGACTACTAACCACAACATGACTCGTTTGCACCTGGGTTAGATTGCACAGTTCACATACACCACTGTTAATATAGTCTCCGGCATTTGACAAACTCCTACAGTACTCCTCATGCATGACATTGTGATGAAGCTAGGTGTCAAGACGTCGAATTGTAGTTAGACCGCTTTGTCAAATATCGTACTGGTCTCGTCATCGTCCAGTAGCAATCGACATTCTTTGTTCCGTTGGGACTGTAGCTTTTGCTCGTTTTCGTTGCGTTTGCCTTCCCCTCTTTGGTCTTTTTATAACCTTGAACCTTCCAAGTTGGAAGGCTGTCGGTTAGCGCTACGGAGATGTGTTGAAGCTAGGTGTCAGGACGTCGAATGTCTCAGGACTCTTGTCAGTTTTGTGCCTAGTTATTGCACTTTCTGACTGTATATAGTATCCAGTTACAGTGATGGAGAGTTACTCTTAACTCGTATCCATATGTCCTTTTCCTTTCTACATTTATTTATGGCTCAACATCCGAGTCTTTTTTATGGTTCGTTTAATTAATGTTTCGTTATGTTTACAACCCCCCCCCCCTTTTTGGATATATTGTTGAAGAAATGGAGCAGAAATAAAGGAAGTGCGTGGCATAAGGTTTGAAGTTTCTAGAAATGTCAATGCTTTTCGAACAGAATCTGTCATTGTTTTAGAGAATTATCGGCTATGGGCGAATGCCTCATGGCTTCAATTACTTCAAGTAGTAATCTAAAGGCCATAATCATCTTCGTTCTGCGCTTCCGAAAACTTCAGAACATTTATAAGTTATAGAGGGATACATGATTTTACAATAGCCACTGTAATGCAGTTCTGAACATGTAGGAAGAATTTGTTGCTCCACTTACTGTGCGCTGCCGTCTGTGTATTCCCATGCATGTAACACTTTTCATCCAACGACGGGGGTTTGACCTTTTGACGGTGCCCAGTTTCTACTCTGGACATCTGGACATTGTCTACCTTTCTTTCAAACTTTCGCTAGTTACGGCTCAGCTAGATTCAACCTCTCTGTGTAGGATCTGAATGCGCTCGTTCTTCCTGCTCTTTCCTTTTTGCGTATCACCTGTGACCGTCGGCTGTAGTCGGACCTCCCTTTGCTATTTGGATAGAGACTAAGTGAGATGGAAATAGTGTTGTTCTCCCCCTGGTCCCCGCCACACAGCAACACAAACTCTTGATTGTGTCTCCATTCTTATTATTATAACAAGAAATGACGAAAGCGCAGGAGGAGAATGGAAAACAAAGGTCAAACGAAACGACAACAGGAAAGACACAAAGAAACCACAAAAAACAAGCAGCAATAAAGCGAATACAAATCCATACTGGCCAACCACCAAAATCTCTATACCTTGACAAGACATGAAGAATCCCTGGATTTCTCTCAAAATCCCTGAATGGCTCGAAAACAAGAAAACGTTCGACGGCATAGACTGCAGGTCAGCGTACAGCACGGTTCGACTCTGCAGTGCAGTTCGATCAGTCGGCACCCGCGCCTGCCAGTGCAGATTTTGCAGGCTAGGCTGATCAGGTCTTGAAAGTGCCGTGCACAGTTCGAAGTGCGAGTGGGCACCTTAATTTTTTGAAGAAGAAAGAACGGGACATTCTAGGTGAAACAATGGAGTGTAACGGAGCGTTCAGGAACATTCTGTATCAGACAAAAATGTGACTTTAATGCGAGTTTGTTTCAAATCAAGCAGAACAATATCAAGCCTCCGGTTCTCAATGAAGCGATCGCACCAGATGGTGAAATCCCACAGAATCTTGATCTTCTGGTCCTGTGGAGAGATGTTGGCGTCTGAAGCATCTCTAGCTTCAGGCACGTTACCCGCAGGTGCATGATGCTCTTGGACCGATCACAGTGGTGCTTGTAGCCCTCGTATTCAGAAGGTATCCCATGTTCACGCAGAGGCCAGTCGATTATGACGCTCCAAGTAATCCCGTCCAGCGAGCTTTGAACACTCGCATAGGATATGGGCAACCAACTCGCCTGCCTTCCCACACATTCGAGACAGGTGGCTTCTGCCCTGATGGAAAATATGGGCCTTGAGCAGGTTAGTTGCCAAGGCCTGGTATTGTGTCGCGATGATCAGGTTCTCTGTGATCTTCTTGAGACCACCTGTGATATTCTTGACACCAGGCTTTGTCAGCCAACTACAGATATTCTCGTTGGTCAGTTGTTCTGTTTGGCGGACAAAATACCCATGCAAGGGTTTCTGGGTCCACGCTAAGAGATGTTCTTTTTAAAGCTGCACTTCACCACCTGTGAGGTGTCCGGTGGGACAACCATATGTGGCCACAGAATGGGTGCAGCAAGCTTCATGAGTTCCGTATCTGACTGAAGCACATAACGCTGCAAATTGCTTTTCTCCATGGTGACAACATCATGGATACTTTGCAAACCACGTCCACCCTCCTTGCGACTGACGTACATGCGGGCTACATCAGCGCGTGGATCGAGAGCTCCATGCATAGTCATAAGATTGCCGGTTCTTCGGTCAGCATATTCCAAATCATCTTGCATCCTTGTCAAGTTACCAGCACTATACCGTATCGAAGCTACAGTCCAGGTGTTGATGGCTCTGATGATGTTGTGGCCATTTAGAGCTGAACGGAGTAGTCGTATGAGGCAGATGACGAACAGCAATGGGGATATGGAGTCCCCCTGGAAAATCCCATGCCGAATGGCCGCCGATCCCAAGTTGTTGGTGCCGTTCCAACGGTCAACCTTCCACTGGGCCATGCTAACAGTCATAAGTCTACGTACTGATTCTTGTATACCTAACAGTTCCTATATTATTACTATTAGACCATATATGACATCAGACACTGGACCCTACATATATTATGACATCAGACACTGCACTCGACGGCACAAGAACCAAACACAACATGCCTAAATGTTAGTCGAACGGAATTTCGCAACATTAGGACTATCGCCGGATGTCACGGTTCCACACCGGCCATGATGAATGTCATCCAGAGCCTGAATCTCACAAAGAAACCACAACAAACAAGCAGTATTTAGAGTCAATTCCGGGAATAGCATGCTATATTCCTCGGAAATACCGGCTGCTGATTGGCTGAATCCATGGTTTCCTACCGTACTATGGGATAAGAACAAATATTCTACCAGAAGCCCTATGCCTTCCCGGAGCGCTGAAACCCTTCCTGCCATGATTACTGCTTCTTCAAACGAGCGAGATTTTCTTTGGTTTCACTTCGCTGCACTCGAGCGTGCCTACACGGGACACAAACCTTTTTAAAAAACAATTTTTCTCAATTAAATGATTTTCAACCTAAGCCTGATTTTCGCAGAAGTCGGGCCAATATATGCCCCGCCGCCATAGTAAACACAAATTGAACTACTTCGAATCATGATACCTGTGTATTTTGGGAACAGAAATTTTCAACATGAATAGTTGTGTGTTATTGGCTACAAGTTGACGACAACTAGAACTGAATGATAAGTGATTCTTGACTGCCTACGAATGCTTTCCTGACTCTGATGTAACTGTTATTCTCACCTCTGAAGTCGCCCTTCCCAGGTCTCCTCAATTGTTCCCTGTGCCTTTGCTTCTCCGAGTTACTCTTCCAATTGGCATTGCCTCTGTATCTAATTTGCTTGGTTTCCTGGCGTTCACGGTCGTTCTCACCTCCAGTGCCAACGATCACACGTCCGTACGCCTCTTCAGTTGAATCGTAAATCTTCTTGGGCTCGATAGTTCTGTTTGTATTATTGTGTGATTCCGCATGGTTCGTACTCTCTCTGTACCATGTTAGCCTGAGTGTTTCTAAGCCCCGCACATGACCAGGAAGAGGAGATGGACTAGTGAATCAACAGTGGACGTAGATGAGGACGATCAGATATAGATCGCACCCCCATTATCGGTGGATGACCCCCACGGGACCTAAAAGTACATGCTGACGAATGCGTGCGCCCCGGTGTTGAATCGTTTTACCTACGTACCGATTACTTTAACTTCCGCATTGAAATTTAAAAAAAATGATAAGATTCGTTTCACTCATGGTAGGTAGAACAATATTCCTCACAATTACCACTTTACAGCTTTACACGCGGGTACGACAAAGATACAATGGCATCACCTCTTTCTCGATTCAAGCAGAGCCAGCACCTACCCAGATCAAACACAAAAGCACAGGGCGTCTATCTGGTCCAAACGTTATTGTCTTCCCCGAAAATGGTTCGTTACTAATAAGCTTTGCTAGGAATGTCTTCGGATAACCAATCTTTGTTGTTATTCCTTGTCTTGCAACTTTGCATGTGCTGAAATGGTCGTCAACTTGCCTTCTGTGCTTGTCTTACTTGGGCAGCAGCCTTGAGATCTGCCGGTGCTTCTGACGCAGTGTAAATTTCGACTTGAAGTAGCGCCGGTGTTGTATTGCACATAAAGCCTTTCTTTTAAAATATTACTACGGTCCCATACCCAACTTATAAAATGATAATGAAAGCCACTGGTACTGAGATTAGGACAAGCGTAACAACAACTGAGCACAGACTACACTGAGATGCTGTTGTGAGGGTGGGCCATTGATGGCTCTGTCAACGTGAGGTGTGCGAATCACGGGCAAAACGCCCTGAATCCATCAGCATCACCGCACGGCGACTGCCGATTTTTCCCTTCACGCAAGTAGGTCGTGTTCAGGTTAATTACCGACGCTGACGTCGCTGACATGACACCTTTCTGCAACGGGACAATTTCCTTCAGCTATGGGTGTCTCCGGCTCCGTAGGTTCCTGGAGAGCAACGTCTTAAATCTCCAGAGCCCCGAACCGGTTTGCGATTTTATAACGGCGTGGGTGCTTGGGTCGTCGTCAGTAAGCGCACC